AGATATGCCTTCTGTACTAATAATGAAACCCAAATACTTCGTACGAGTCACGTTGAATTCGCACTTCTTGAGGTCAGCTTGCAAGCCGGCGTCTTAAAGTCGTTGCAGCACTTTTCTCACGTGCTCTTCGTACTCGAGGGGATTATCGGAGTAAATAAGGATATCATCGAGGTAAGCAGTACAAAAATCGTCTAAGTAATCAAACAATATATCGTTTATATATCGTTGATACGTAGCAGGCCCATTAGTAAGTCCGAAAGGCAGGACTTTGCACTTGTACGCTCTATAGCGAGTACGAAAGGTAGTCAGTTCTTCCGAATCAGGGTGCATTCAGATTCGGTGGAAGGCTTGGCGTATGTCTAGCTTTGTGTAGATCTTCGCAGAGGCGATTCGGGCGAGAGTCTCGTCGATTAATGGTAATGGATACCGGTCTTTGCGCGTAATAGCATTTAGCTTCCGGAAATCGATGCAAAATCGTAAGGCTCCGCTAGATTTCTTCACAAAGAGGACGGGTGCCGCGAATGGGGCCTGGCTAGGTTTAATAAAGCCTTTAGACAAGTTGTCTATCAAGTACTACTTAGTGACTACTAGCTCTTCAGCGCTTATCTTGTAAAGAGGCGTGAACTAAAGCTCCGCTTCGTCCTTCTCAAGGGCGATCTTATGGTCGTACGAGCGAGAGGGAGGCAGTGTGTTGGAATCGTCTTTAGAGAAAGCTCGAGCGAATGCTTGGTATGTTGCTGGGATAGACGGCTCAACTTCCTTGATCTCTACTCCTGGCCGTGCTTCTTGATAACGCTTATCCTCAATCAACCGATCTAGCTCGTACAAGCTAGTGGTAAAGAGCTTAGTATCTGGCTAGCGAAGGTTGAGGTGGAACGCTTCTGGCGTAATTAAACAGAGGTCTATAGCTTTTGGCATTAGTACGTAGTCTGATAGCTTTGGAGGAGGCTGCGGTAGAGTTGGCTTTTGACTCAGCTTTCTAAACAAGGCATTATCCATCTTATGCATATTGTCTCGGTTATCTAGGGACTAGGTACGCTTCCCAAGTAGTCGGGGCACATAACTTTGCGGTTTTGCCGATATAGGTGGGGGCGGACGAGCTAGTAGTGGCTTTTTTGACATAAGCTCCTCTTTTGGTATAGGTAGGAGGCTTGGCACTTTTGGTGGCGTAGCACTAAGCTCTTGTGGCGGCGGGGACGGTGAAGGTGGGCTTAAACTGTTGATATTTAGCTAGGCATAGCTATGTTGAGCACTACTTCTTTGTTGTTGATCCTAGATCTCTACTACTAAGTCACGACGGTCGGTATCCAACTAGTCCTGGCTTCTAAGTCCAACCGGGAGCTTTCTCATATGGTAGCGAGGCACGTGCTTGTCGGGCAAAGTAGATCGTACGTCTGAAGGCGTGTAGTCCTTTGGCCAAAGGAGTTGGCGCTTAGCTACGTCTAGCTTGACTTGACACATCTCTAGCCAGGTGCGGCCTAGAATAATGTCATGGGAGCCAAGCTCTGTAACCAAAAAAGGGACTAAGAGCTGCTTCCTTCCGTCTACCGTGAGGTGGAGGCGTAGGCAATGAGAGATAGCTTGTCCAGGTCTGCCATTAAAGCCTAAAACAGGGATAGGAGAGCGTAAGCGCTAAAACTTAGCACTAGTGAAGTTCGCAAAGTCGCGGGCAAGGGCAGAAGTAATGAAGGCAAAGCCATTTGCTCCAGTGTCGATGAGAGGGTGAACGGTAGTACTAATTGCATTAAAACTGATAGTATATGGGTACGAAAAGTGTGTTCTACCTATCACTGCTTGTAAGTCTAGCTTTGAGCAATCGACAAAGCGGCCTAAGAAGGAGACTTCCCTTAGGCTGTGCCATTTCCCGGCATAAGCTGACTTGCGTTGTCTTCATCGTCTTCTACCTCTTCTTCTTCCACGTGGCCTTAAGGGTAGGTTGTAATCTCTTCTATCTCTAATACACTCTCCATGTTGGTAATATCCAAGTGTGTAACCGAAGGGCAGTCCTTCGCAAAGTGACCAATCCTCTTGCAGTTGAAACACTAGCTAGTCTTTGGGTTAGGGGGAGCTGCTGACTGCTGGCGGCTGGGAGTGCCCTACCGATGAAACGTAGGGGCAGCAGGCTTGGGAGACGATCGAGGTGGTCCGGGCAGATAGTGTTGTGTTGTCCTGACCGGTACCTAGGGTCCTTGGACGGTGGTAGAGCGAGCTTCCGCACGAGACTTCCTTAGGGTCGGCACTAGCTTCGTCTGAGCTACGTGTGAGAGTTCGAGGTCGGTCTGCTCTGCTACAGCGCAGAGGTTAGTAAAGCTTTGGCGCATACTATACACTTGGCTTGCAATAGCGATACGGATGCGGGGCGTAAGCTTAGAGCGGAAATCCGAGAAGAGCTAGTCTCGTGATATCCCTACTTGAGCTAACAAAGTGAGAAAGCGGATCTTGAACTATCGCATAGTCTTAGTGTCTATCATAGCCAAAGAGCGATACTCGTCTTGCTTCTTCAAGGATTCGAAAGGGTCTACATAAGCTGTAGCCAAGGACTAGACCATCTCTTCCAACGTACGGAACGCATAGTGGACTCTTCGTAGAGTGGTAGGGAAGCGAGTTAGCAGTTGAGCTCTAGCCTCACTAGTAGTACAACTGAGGGCGTAGTTCATCCGTTGTTTCTCTGATACGCTAGGGTCCATGTAACCTGAGGCCTCGAGCTTGGAGTCCAGGTCGATTATCCACGAATCAAACGTAG